TATTCCACAAGGTATGACCAAGATCCAGCCATAGCGGTATTTTATAATCCCATTTGAGTCGGTGCTTCTTCCAAACTCTCATCAAAGAATCTCTAAGTATATGACTTTTAAATACTTTATCAACTTTGTCATCATAAAATAGGTAAGCATGCCATCCAAATTCAAGATCAAAACTTTCTGCATTCAATATTCCAGCCTTTTTACTTCCAAACCAATCACTTGTTAAAGTTAAAGCTGCTGCATCATAATATAACTGTAGGTTTGGAAGTTTAAGGCCTCCTCTTTCTGGAACATCTTGCATAATTTTCAATTTCACTCTCGGCTTTTTCTCGTTCCAGACAAACTTATTAAGTCCAGTTTGCCAAACTTTCAGTTGTTTATCACTTTTAAGCACCGGAATCATTTGAAACAAAAACAGAAATCTTGGCAAAATGTTCATCTTAACTGCTGCTATTCTTCCAAGTAAAGACAGTTGCAGCTTTTTCCAAGTCTCCATGTCTTTCTGAGCCTCTCGCCACAACACCTCATAGTTATTTTGAAACAATTTCATGTTTGATTCTGCAACCTGAACTCCAAGATATTTTACCTTAGGTACAATTTCAAAACCTGCCCTCCTTTCAAACTCATATTTACGATCTTGTGTCATATTTTTGACTATCATTTTAGTCTTTTTTGAGTTCACTCTGAAACCTGAAACTCTACCATAGTCTTGTATAATGTCGTTCATCAAGATTATTGATTCCATTGGTTGTGATAGGGTAACCACCAGATCATCTGCAAATGCCTTTACTCTATAATCCTCTTGCCTTATCATTATGCCTTTCAAAATTTTTGAGTCCCGTATTGTATTTAGCAAGACTTCCAATGTTAAAATAAATAAAAGTGGGGACAACGGACATCCCTGTCTTGTTCCTTTTTCAATTTTAAACTCTGTCGTCAAACTTCCATTAATAATAATCTGTGCTTTTTGCTCTTGATAAATTGCTGAGATTGCCTGTGTAAACTGGTCCCCAAAGCCCATCTTTTTTAAAGTCTTTAGTAGAAAAATCCAATCCACTCTATCAAAGGCCTTCTCCGCATCCAAAAAGACCAGCACTGCAGAAATCTGTTTATTCTTATCAAGATATTCCAATAAGTCTATTACTTGCCTTACATTGTCCTTCATGTATCTACCCTCAATAAATCCCGCTTGGTCCTCATGAATCACCTTTTGGATTACTGGCATCAACCTGTTGGCTAATACCTTCGCGTAAATTTTATAGTCTGTATTCAAAAGAGATATTGGTCTGTAGTTCTCTGGTTTTTTAGGACCAACTTGTTCTTTTGGTATCAAAGATATATAAGCAGTTGTCCAGGATGGGGGTATTTTACCCCCTTGTTGAATATTGCAAAATAAATCTCTAAGTTGTCCCACCATTTCAGCTTGTAAAGTTTTATAGTACACTGCAGTCAAACCATCCGTGCCAGGAGCTTTGGCTGTTTTTAGCTGTTTAATTGCTGCTGTTATCTCCTCCTCTGTTATAGGATAATTCATTCTTTCCTTTTGTTGATCAGTAATTTTTGTAACTCTCTTATCCTTTAAATATTTTTCTATAAGTCCATTCTGCACCTCATCTTTGGCATATAGTTTAGTGTAATAATCCACAAAAGCTTCTTTAATTAGTTTTTGTTGAAAGATTTCTTTCCCTCCAATATCAATACTATCAATAGTCCGTATACTTTGTTTTTTCCTCAATGTGTAAGCCAACCATCTGCCCGGTTTATTAGCATTGCAAAATGTATTATGCTTCGCGTATTGTAAACTTGTTGCAACTTGTTCCGCCATAAGCATTTGGAATTGATCTTTCAAAAGTTTTATAGCACTTCGTATTCTTTCATCTGTTGGGTTTTTAATAAGTAACTGTTCTTTATTCTTTATTTCCATTTCCAACTCAGATCTTTTCTTTTGTCGGAACAGTCTATGTTTAGAATTCATGTAGATAAGTACCCCTCTCATATAAGCTTTACTTGCATCCCAAACAATTTCAACTGGGGTACCTTTATTCAAATTTATTTCAAAAAATTCTTTCAAGTGCTTTTTAAGTTCTATTATATTTTTTTCATATCTAAACAGGTTCTCATTTAATCTCCAAGAACGTCTCTCAACCTTATCCATCTCGATTTCTATCCATACAGGACTATGATCAGTCAAAATTCTTGGAAAAATCTTTGTTCTTTTTGTCTTAACAAGTAGATCATTTGACAACAAGATAAAATCAATCCTAGAAAAAGATCTATGTCTATCAGAAAAAAAAGTGTAATCCAATTCATTTGGGTTATGTATTCTCCAAACATCTTTTAGTTCCATATCTTCTTTCATATCAAAAAAGGTCTGTGGTAATCTAATTCTAGACTTTGCCAAGCTCTTTTTATCTAATTTAGAATCAATTACTCCATTCCAATCTCCCATAATTAAAATAGATCTGTAGTCCCATTGCAATATTTTAGTATGTAACATCTTATAAAAATAATCCTGTTGTTGGTTGGGAGCATAAATTCCAATCAAAAGAATTTGTCCATTTGCTGTAAACAATTCAATTGCTACAAATCTACCATCTTGATCTACTTCTATAACTTTTGCTGTTAATTTTTTATTTACATAAATAACCACACCATTCTTTTTCTGCGAAGTTGAAGATATATAATGTGCTCCTAGTTTTGAGTTTATCAAATATTTTTGATCTTGAGTTGTAATGTGCGTTTCTTGTAAACATATTATATCATTATTAAATTGTTTCAAATATGTAAATAATTTTTTCCTTTTCTGTGCTGAATTCAACCCATTGACATTCCAAGATAAACACTTAAAGGTCATTGACCTCTTCATGGAGCGCGGAGCAATATGCTTGAAGTTCATCCACAAGCTTCGATCTCGCTCCTCCCATAGCGCCAATCTCTTGTGCAGTGCTCTTAACTGCCTTCTTGTCTTGTCTTTCCTGTTGTTGTTGTTGCTTCTGTTTAAGTAGCTTGGATTGAGCTCTAGTTATACGTTGATCTTTAACTTCAGTCAACTGAATCAAATCCAAAATTGGAGAAGAATCCAGCGATGGCTCACTCAGAATACCTCCTTCTGCACCTTGCACGTTTTCTAATTCCTGCTTAGACTGTTCTTTCAATTGCCTCTCTTCACTCTCCTTAATCTCCAGAACTGTAGATGTACGTGGAGATGGTGTTCTTTCCATAAGAATAGTACTGTAAAAGTGTTGCGCCTTCTCCACGGTATTCAACCGATATCCTTCTCCCTTATATCTGAAAATTACCCCAGCTGGTGCATCCCACCGGAAGGGTATCTGTAAATTTTTCAATTCCTTAACAAGAAAACCAAATTCTTTTCTAGCTTTCAGCATTTTAGGAGGTAACTCTTTAAAAATTACAAGCCGTGAGCCCCCCACTTGTATAGAGGTGTGGAAAGATTTTTGCAGGATATCATTTCTAATTTCTCTCTCAGTAAAGTATATGACCACATCTCTGGGTAATTGTCTTTGCCTGGCCACCCAAGAGTTCACTCTGTAAATTTTATCTATTTTATGAAATACCAAATCAGGATTAACTTGTAGAATCTTAGCCAGGGCTTCAGAGCAAACTTGTCTCAAGTCCTGTCTTTCCTCCTCTCGAATTCCCCGAAGCCGTATGGCAAATTCCATCGCCCGGAATTGTATCATAACAATCTCATCTTCAATTCTCTGCATTTTATTGTCAACTTCATCAATTTTATAATCATTGTCTTTCATCCTAACATTAACTTCTGATTTAAATTCTTCAACTTTAAAATCAACTTTCCCAATAAAATCTGCCAGGCCAGACGCCACTTCTGATATTTTTTTGGTCACCATAATTTGATTCTGTTTCACCATGTCTTTAATTTCATTAATTTCCTGCAAAAATTCCTGATGTGATTTTTGAAGTTCCTGTTGTGATTCTTGAAATTTATCATCCAAAGTTTTAGAAATAAATTCTTTTAAATCTGCCACATCAAATTCTTTTTTCTGAGTTTGTAGCTGTTGAGCAGGGGGAGGTTGCGTTTGCTGTTTGTGTGTGGGGGATCCCCCCCCTAATGCCTTCCCTTCCTGCTTCTTTGAAGCCATCCTGGCTCGTGATCTAGTTTTTCTAAAGAGGGAGGTTCCTTTTCCTTTCCCTCCTGCACAAAGACTTCTAAAAAAGTCCCCCAGATTTGATCAAACAAGGGTTAAAATAAAGCAAAGTCCAATATTGAAAAGGGAAAAAATTTCCGAGTTATTTCTCTTGTAACAAGCAAGGCAGCTTAGTAGCAACTTGGAAACTTTGTAGCAAAACAAAGTAACTTCACCAATCCACACTCGCTGGCTCGTTAACTCTGAAGCTAGGCGCCATGTTTTTTCAAAGCACTTTCACTCACTCGCATTTTCTCAAATTGAAAAGTCAACAAAGTGCTAATACTTGCGTTTCCAAATTTCAGGATTCAGGTAGTTTCGCTGTTTATTAAAGCTGGTTCTTTCGCTTTAAGTTTCCTGCAGCCGGCTTGTTCTGCAGAAGCAGAATCGTCCCACGCCGCCCGGAGTCTCAGCAGGTTGGAAGGGAGCCGCGCCTGTTTCCTCCCCAGAAACAATTCCCTGGGGGGTTACAGGGGCTCGACCTGTGCCCTGCTATCTCTCCTCCAATAATCCTCAGGATTTTGAAGTTTTCGAGCCGCTTCTCGATCGCGAAGCGGCTCTACAGGCGGCGGGGCTGGCGGAGCTTCAAAGAGCGCCGCCGTCGCCGAAGACAAAGAAACCGGAAGTCATCGAGATTATGTACTTGATGGCACTTAATCAAATGAAGCCACTCACAAGCTAATTACAGTATTTATGGCTTTTTTCATAGTGTTGGGATCACAAGGTAAATATAAAAAGGTGCTTCTAAAATTCACGTGGAGTAAGATGAAATCCATCTGTGATCTAGCGGCAAGTGTGAAAATATGTTTTTGAAATGAATTGGAAATGTACCTCATCACGTCGATTGACTTTGCCAGATTTTTGTGCTTGCCTGTAAGACAGTTCTAGCAGCTTTAGGTATCTTTCTCGTTTTCTATTGGCTGCTTTCTCTTCTGGGGATGTGGGTGACTCTTTACTGACAGACAAGTTGTCTTCGCTAATTACGCTCCTGCCTTTTGCAATCACTTTCCTAGGAATGTTGCTGTCATTGCTTTCATCACTGTCATATATCACAGCTGTCCGAGATCTCTTCCTCTTTCCAAAAGAGATGTTTTCTTCTTCATCAGAAGAAACATCACTGCAAACTTTCTGTAAATCTGCATTGCTCCCAGCTTCACCATGACTTTTGCTAAGTATGGCGGTCCCTTCTTCTTTTCCATCTACATCTTCTTTCGAACTGGACTTGGGATCTTTTTCTGAGGACAATGTCATTTCATCATCACTATCATCCTCACTTTCAAGAAATTTAGTCCGATCCCAGTCAATGCGAGATTTAGCCACTGGTTTTGCTCTGGTGCTTCTGGTTTCGTATCTTCTACTTACAGGATTTACAGGATCTTTTTCTGAGGATGAGGAAGAGGAGGAAATAATTTTGTCGTCATCATCCTGACTTTCAGGAAAGAGACATCTTTTAGTCTGATTCTGGTCAACATGAGATTTGGCCACTGATTCTGCTGTGGTGCTTCTGGTTTTGTATCTTCTACTTACAGGAGTAGTTTCCATAAGGAATTACTAAAAAAAAGAAAAAAAAGAAAGAAAGAAGAAGAATAAATTCTGTGTTGTAAGTTCACTATATTTTTACTTTTAGAACTCCTCAAATAGTGATGGGAAGCCCAGTCAAAAACTGAGGCTTTTCTTTTCTGGTCACACCCCTTGTTCCAGACTTAAAAGAAATAGATATACAGCAAACTCTTAATTTAATGGATTATTAATTGGGGAGAAAAGTACAGGCAGTCCTTAACTTACAACTATTCATTTAGTCCAGGCCTGTCAAACTGGCAGCCCGCAGCCTGCAGATACGCCACTCACAGGCCACGCCCACCCTGGCTCAGCAAAGGCAAAAAAACCTTGTGATATATCACGATCTGGCTCATGATGTGATCGGGTTTGACACCCCTGATTTAGTGACTGCTCAAAGTTACTGTCATGTCCCCATCGGAGCCCGAATCTGTGGAGTAAGATGAGCCAGAACTGGAGCCGACGGAGATTGAGGGGGTGGCTTTGTTGGCTTGGGAGAAATGTGGGGAGGAACAGGCCGAGCCAGGCCGGAGCCTTTCAGGATTGGGACGGCTTGTAGGCAGGGAGGAAGGGGGGCAGGATGACCAAGACAGGCTAAGCAGTGAACATGAGAGACAGAGCTCAGACAATGAACAAGGACCATCCCCTCCTGATCCTCGAGCCCGGAGAGTGGAGAGAAGGCGAGAACAGCGCAGACTGACCTGATTACTCGGGAGGAGAATGCCCCAACCCTCTTCACAAGGCACACTTGGGGACTGAGACTTAAGGAGACACTGTGGGGAGGGCCATTTGTCAGGAACAAATGCTGAATTCCTGGAGTGTTGAGTGCCAGAAAAGTTTGAACTTTTCTGGATTCTTTGCATTCTTTCTGGATTTCTTGTTTTGCAGCCGTTGTGCTCACAGCGTTGGGCAGGACTATTTGCAGCCAGAGGCTAGTTGAGGTGTGTGTGTGTGTGTGTGTGTGTGTGTGTGTGTGTGATCACTTTGCTCTGGGACTTGCCAGAAACGTGGGAGCATTTCGGGAAATTTGGAGCAATAGAGGGGCGGTTTGAACTGCCAGCTGCCTGTGTTACAATTTCTGCCATGCCCCGGATCATCACAATTACAATGGTACTGAAAAAAGTGACTTACGACTGTTTTTCACACTTCCATTGCGGTATCCCCATGGTCACATGATCAGAATTTGAATGCTTGGCAACTGGCATTTATTTATGACTGTTGCAATGTCCTGGCGCTACACCCTTCCCCTTTGCCACCTTCTGATAAGCAAAGTCAAGGGGGAAATCAGGTTCACTTAACAATTGTAACTAACTTAATGGCTACAATGATTCACTTAAAAATTGTGGCATGAAAGGTTGTAAAATGGGCATAACAGTTCAGAATTGTCTTGTTAGCTACAGAAATGTTTGGCTCAATTATGGTTGTAAGTCAAGGAGTACCTGTAATGTCCTTCAGAACTCATTGCCTCCTACTGCAAATGAAATCTTAGCAGGGGTGGGTTCTAAAATTTTTTTACTACTGGTTCTGTGGGCGTGGCTTATTTTGTGGGCGTGGCTTGATGGTCATGTGACAATTCTTTAGGATTTAGCAGAGGTACTGGTCTACCAGGCTTTTAACTGCTTGCAGAGCTGTACCAATCTACCCATTTTTTTTTTGCAGGCACTGATCTACTCATGTATTTTTGCAGGCACTGGTCTACTCATGTATTTTTGCAGCACTGATCTACTCATGTATTTTTGCAGGCACTGGTCTACTCATGTATTTTTGCAGGCACTGATCTACTCATGTATTTTTGTAGGCACTGGTCTATTCATTTGTTTTCTTTTAATACTGATCAGCTGTAGGGCGGCCCTTTGAAGCCCCGCGGCAAGAGTTTAAACAGGTTTTTTCCTTCTAGCCATCAGCTGGGACTCAGGAGGCAGCAATAGATTGGGGGTGGGGCCAAATAAAAGGTAAGAATAATGTGGGGGGTGGGGGAGGCGCGGGGGGCAGGCAGAACCGGTTTGGTGACATCATATCGTCACCGCTACCGGCTCGGGAGAACCGAGCCCACCACTGAATCTTACACAGGCATAATTTGGTAAAGGGATTTTTGTCTTCTAGATCGAAAATCTACCAAACAAGTCCAGGAAATCTTCTAAGGTTTTTTGTTTTGTTTTTTTGGTAGGGGGAAAGAAATTTCATGGAACATTTTAATGCTGTAGAATTATAATGAAGCTTATTTGCAAAGACAATGCAAAGTTTTGCAAATCTGTTTGATTCAATTGTGTTGTAGTTTTAAAGGTATTTGACCACACAACTGGCCAGAAACAAAATCTCACTTTTGGAAATAAATTCTGCAAGTTTTAGAGGACTATAGAATTTTCAAAAGATTTTGACAAAATATTGGTTCAAGGCCTGCAACGTAACTAACCAGTGGTCGGATTCAACTTTTTTTTACTACCGGTTCTGTGGGTGTGGTTTGGTGGGCGTGGCATGGCTTGGTGGGTGTGGCAGGGGAAGGATACTGTAAAATCTCCATTCCCTCCCCACTCCAGGGGAAGGTTACTGCAAAATCTCCATTTCCTCCCGACCAATTGGGACTCGGGAGGCAGAGAATCGGGGTGAAATGCTCCTGGTTCGGACCGGATCACCCGATCTGGTAGCGATGGATGTGGGTGATTCGGAGAACTGGTAGCAAAAATCCCTGCCCCCCTCCATGCCCAGCTGAGCCGCGCAATCATCAGAGGCTTTTTTAAAAAAAAATTAAAAGCATTTTTTCTACAACCTCTTTGGCCGAAAAAATGCTTTTAAAAGCCTCTGATGATCCCAGCTGAGTTGCCTGATCGTCAGTGGCTTTTAGAAGAAAAAAAGCCTCTGCCTATCAGGCAACTCAGCTGGGATCGTCAGAGCCTTTTGAAAGCATTTTTTTTACAACCTCTTCGCCGAAGAGGTTGTAGAAAAAATGGTTTTAAAAGTTAAAAAAAAAAAAATTGGCCATGTTCACCCAGTCACATTACCCCCCTCCACCAAGCCACAGAACCGGTAGTAACAAATTTTAGATTTCACCACTGCAGAGAATAGATGGGGGCAGGGCCAGTCAGAGATGGTATTTACCGGTTCTGCAAACTACTCAAAATTTCCATTATCGGTTCTCCAGAACTGGTCAGAACCTGCTGAAACCTACCTCTGTAACTAACCCTTCATCATTGCTTAATAGAACTGGATTCCACAGACTTGTGCATCAAATGAAGATAATCTGATATCTGATAGGCGTTTGGAAACAGGCAAACACATAGCCAGCTAAGGATGCTAAACAAGACTGCATGAAAAAGGTTGCTTCTATTTATTTTTATCCCACTTTTATTATTTTTAGAAATGCAGCGAACATACCTAATATTACTTCCTCCTCTTTATCCCCATAAACCCAACCTTGTAATGTGGGTTGGGTTGAGACGGAATGACTGGCCAAAATCACCCAGCTGGGTTTCATGACTAAGATGGGATTTGAACTCACCTTTTCTTGGTTTCTAGCTGATGCCTTAACTCCTAGATCAAGCTGATTCTTGATTTACTTCGCACTTCAAACTCCTCTTGACGTCTGTAAACATAAAAGTAGAAGTTCAACCTCAGAGAACAGGGACTTTTCAGAAACTGATATTGATTAAAAGCACTTTTTTTACAAAATAAAAATATTATTAAATATTATTTTCTAAAGAGCACAAAATACTTCAAGTAACAACAGCTAACAAGTAGTAACAAATAACAACATGGTTGTTTGATGCTCTTGTTGTGTGTCTTGGAGAAAAACATCCAAGACATACTTCATTCATTGGTACCCTTCGGTCTCAAGAGACTATGGTATCATGCTCTGGAAAGAGGTCCTAAAACAGCATCTAGTGTGACTAAAAAGGCCAATTTGAGAGTGGCAATTGCTTCCACACTGTGGGCAGATACATTCTGTCCCCTGCCTAGCCCATAGATTTCGCTGGTTCTGGGACTTCCTCTTTGCCTCAGCCGAACAAGTGTCTCTTCGAATTGGAGAAGGCCATGCTGCGTCTTTAGCCTCCAAGCTGAATGATCGGTCAAGGTTTCCCAGTTGTTAATGTCCATTCCCAGGGCCTTTAGGTCCCTCTTGCAGATATCCTTATATCACAGCTGTGGCCTCCCTCTGAGGTGCTTTCCCTGCACTAATTCTCCATACAGGAGATCTTTCGGAATCCGACCCTCAGCCATTCTCACGACATGCCTCAGCCAGTGTAGACATTGCTGTTTCAATAGTGTATACATGCTAGAAATTCCAGCATGTTCCAAGACTGCGCTATTTGAAACTTTGTCCTGCCAGGTGATGCTGAGAATTTCTTCAGAGACAGCGCATATGAAAGGTGTCCAACTTTCTCTCCTGCCATGCATAGGGGGTCCAAGACCCACTGCAGTACAAGAGTGTGCTCAGGATGCAGGCTCTATAGACCTGGATCTTTGTATGTTCTGTCAGCTTCTTATTAAGCCATACTCTCTTTGTAAGTCTGGAAAATGTGGTGGCTGCTTTACCAATACGTTTATTCAGCTCAGTATCTAAAGAGAGAGTGTCAGAGATAGTTGAGCCGAGGTACACAAAGTCACGGACGACCTCCAGTTCTTGTGCAGAGATTGTAATACAGGGAGGTGAATCCACGTCCTGACCCATGACTTGTGTTTTTTTCAGGCTGATTGTTAGTCCAAAATCTTGGCAGGCCTTGCTAAAACTGTCCATAAGTTGTTGAGCAGTGAGCTCATCAGCGTGCAGCAGAGTGAGCAGTGACTCATCAGCGTGCAGAGTGAGTTGCATCATCAGTGAAGAGGAAATTGCATAAACATTTCATCTTTGGACTTTGGACTTTGGACTTTGGACATAAACATTCCATCTTTGGACTTTGCTCTCAGTTTAGACATACTACAACAGCATCAAATAATAATGGTTGAGGCTCCCAAAAATGAATTCTCTTCACAGAAAGAATTCTCTGTGGATACCCCAAGTGGTAAAAGAGGAAGAGAAGAGGAAGTATCAACAGATGTTGATGCTAGAAAGAGTGCAGAGAAGAGCAACCAAGACAATTAGAGGACTGGAGACTAAAGCATATAAAGAATGGTTGATGGAACTGGGCGTGTCTAGTTTAATGAAAAGAAGGACTAGGGGTGACATGATAGCATTCTTCCAATATTTAAGGGGCTGTAACAAAGAAGAGAAGGTCAACCCATTCTCCAAAGCACCTGAAGGCAGCACAAGAAGCAATAGATAGAAACTAACCTGGAAATAAAGAGAAATTTCCTGAGAGTGAGAACAATTAATCAGTGGAACAACCTGCCTCCAGAAGTTGTGGATGCTCCAACACTGGAAGTTTTAAGGAAGAGATTGGACAACCATTTGTCTGAAGTGGTTCAGGGTTTCTTGCCTGAGCAGGGAGTTGGACTAGAAGACTTCTAAGGTCCCTTCCAACTCTGCTATTCTGTTAACAGCAGGCAAACTATCACTTTTCGCTTGACCTTATCTATGCGAAGATCTCCTTTGAAGGGTCCCTGTAGGTAGCCGAGGGTGACAGCCGGGGACTATGGGATCTGTAGTCCTAGGCAGTCCTAGGCAAGACTAAGCGGGCGGAAGGCTGCATAAATTATACTCCGCCTTTCCATCACTCCAATCTGCCAAAAGAAAAATCTGATCGCTTCCGAAAAAACAATATAAACCAGAAAACCAAACTATTGCGATCGGGCGTCTCTTTGGGAAGCTGGTAGGGGCTTGGGCTACAAACCCATCAGGTGCAGGCTGGGCATGATGGGATTCAAGGGGGTGGGGGCGGATACTTTCCAGATCCAGGCGAGAAGTGCGAGATTAAGACGGACGCCGCCAGCGCTCACCTGACACTCCGCAAAGCGACTTCCAAGAAACGACCGGCAAGCGAGCGGAAGACGCAATGAAATAAACTTTCAAAAAAAAAACACCTTAGAAACTTTTCGGTTCTAGTGCCCGCTTTTTTGTTCTCCTGACTTCTCATTGGCTGAGCCTTACCCCTACTCACTTCCCTCCCGGCTCCTTATTTGCGCGGCCGGTCCAGCTGACCAGAGAGAGAGAGGCGGGGCGTTTCATGGTGTCCGAGCTGTCATCCTGGATACGGTTGTCAAAAAAGACTTATAATTGACACCAATCTGTGGTGGAGTTCGCTTATGGGGGGGGGTATTTGTTTAAAGATTGTGAACAGTATGTAGTTTTGGCAACTTTGAGATGCCTGGATTTCAACAGGATCAATTTATTTACCAAAGCACCTGAAGGGCAAGACAAGAAACGATGCACGGAAACTAATGAAGGAGAGAAGCAGAATAACCAGAGTTGGAAGGGACCCTGAAGGTCATCTAGTCCAACCCCCACCTGCCCCCCGCCCCAGCAGGAGACCCTACACCATTTCTGACAGATGGCAGTCCAGTCTCTTCTTGAAAGCTATTTTTTTTTAAAAAAAACCCACATATCTATATATCTATATCTATATCTATATCTATATCTATATCTATATCTATATCTATATATCTATATATCTATATATATCTATATCTATCTATCTATCTATCTATCTATCTATCTATCTATCTATCTATCTATCTATCTATATTGCTTTAATTTATATGCCGCCCTTCTCCGGAGACTCAGGGCGGCTTACAATGCGTTAAGCAATAGCCTTCATACTTTTGTATATTTATACAAAGTCAGCTTATTGCCCCCACAATCTGGGTCCTCATTTCACCTACCTTTGAAAGGATGGAAGGCTGAGTCAACCTTGAGCCTGGTGAGATTCGAACTTGCAGTAATTGCAAGCAGCAGATGTTAATAACAGTGTTTAATCCACTGTACTACTGTTTAAGTAATTAATGTTTAAGTAATTCTTAAAGTAGGCAAAAGCTATTGGAAATGTATTTGAGAGTACCTGTATTAAGGGAAAGCTAAAGAAAATGATGTTAATTTTAAATGTCTAAATTGGGTAGCCTTTATTTTAATTAGATATGGGCCAAACTATTTAATATTTTTTAAATTGTTTTTTAATTTTATATTTGTGTGTTTTATGCTGGCTATACACTGCCCTGAGTCCCTTTAGGAGAAGGGTGGTATATAAATAAATTAATTAATTAAACAAACAAACAAACAAACAAATAAAATAAATTCAGGTGTAAAGAAAAACTCTATGTTACAAAGGATGTTAATAAAAGGGGGGAAAATATTCTATAAGGGTAGTTTGGTGGGAGGGATGTAAATGCAATACTTGTATGTTAAAAAGTCAGAGAAAAAGATGTATTTGAAAGTTTTGATTTTTAAAAAAGTGTTTTTTTTTAAAGAAAAAGTTTAGTACTTTGAAGGAGAAAAAAAGTGAAAGAAAGGATTCTCCCCCGCCCCTTTTCTTTCAGTAAAGTCAGAGAATTCGAAAGAATACAACAAACTTTGTAAATAAAAAATGATGACCGTTCACCAAGATTACTAGGGGCAAATAGAAATGCGTATTATTTCCATAGCAAGGAAGATAAAGCGGGAATTGTTAAATTGATTGTTTTATTCAAAGAGGAAAATGTGTTCTTATTCAGGTATCGCTTCTGGAATTTGTGCTTGTGAAGAAAAAAAAAAAGGAAACTTTGACCTTGGTTTTGTTGTGTTGGAAGAAATGTCCATCCGCGTTCAGTTCCAAGTGCAGAGAAAGACACTGGAAACATGGAGGCTGATTGGAAAGATGGTTTATTGATGAAGCAGAGGTCCTGCAGCTGGATTTTTAGGATTTTTATACCGTCTGTTCTACAGCATGTTGTGATTTAGAGGCTTGTTTTGTGTATTTTGTTATTGGATTTTAATTAGTTTGTCTCAGGAAGGGCGGCAATGAGTTGGGGTTTTTAATCTTGTTTAGCCAATGTAATTAATCCTGAGTGCTGGCTTCCATGAGGTTTTAATCTTGTCTTCTTGAATGGATTATCAAATCTGCATTTCTAAAAGTTGGCCCCTTAGTTTCTACTTAGGGCCAACTTTCTGTCTTTAGAAACATGTTTCTCCTTTAGGGAAAATATAATATTCTGCCTTTTTAATATTTCCTAAAATATTTCATTCTTCTGAGACGGGTGGGTGCTAACTTTCTACAGTTGATTAGAAAGATTTGGTGTTATAGGAATGGCTGGTTATATATTAATGTGTAAAAGCAAAAGGTTGAGACTGCAGTGTGTTTATCTTGTACTGTGCTAAGAGGAGTTGGAAGTCAATGCCCCCCTTCCTTCCTTCCTTCCTTCCTTCCTTCCTTCCTTCCTTCCTTCCTTCCTTCCTTCCTTCCTTCCTTCCCCCTTGTACCTTCCCCCCTTTCCCCGTTCCCTTTCCCTCCCTTAATTTCCTATTTTTTTCTTCTTTTTTGTATTTTATATAATAAAATAAAAATGATAAATTTAAAGAAAGCTTCCAGTGATGAAGCTCTCACAACTTCTGAAGGCAACTTCTGTTCCATTGGCTGATTGTTCTGACTGTCAGAAAATTTCTCCTTATTTCTAGGTTGAATTCCTTGTCTGCACTGTAGGAAAAAATACCCTTCTGGGTTCAGTTCCAAGTGGGGAAAAAGACACTGGAAACATGGAGGCTGCTTGGAAAGATGGTTTTAATGGTGGACAGGATCACATGGCTTGAGTTCCTGAACAGATAAAGGGATGAGATGCTGAGCGTGCCTTGGTTTTATGCCCTCTCTGAGCTTTGAACTTCCTGGGGCACAGGAAGAGTATCCTGATTGGTTGTCAGACTCCCAGGGGGTAGGGGTCTTAGATAGCTTTGCTGGCTGATGTAATCTTCCCAGATGCCATGTGGGGAGTTTCTGTTGCTAGATGGGTCTTATTGTGTTAGTTTCTGTTGCTAGATGGGTGCTATTGGGTTGCAGATGATGGTTCATTGACAAAGATTGAGTTTCTGCCTGTGGCCCATTGACAAAGGGTGGGGGGCAGGAAGATGGGAGCTGCTTCGTCTTTAAAACATGCTTCTCCATTTCTCATCCAGGGAAACATAATATTCTGCCTTTTTAATATTTCCCAAAATATTTCATTCCTCTAGGAAAGGGGTAGATGCTAACTTCTTACAGCACTTTAGGTGCTTTGGAAAAAATCTTGACCACTTCCTCTCCGTGGCAGCCCCTCAAATATTAGAGCACTGCTATCATGTCTCTCCGGTCCTTCTCTTCTCTTCACTAGACTAGACATGCCCAGTTCCGTTCTTCATATGTTTGTTGCTCTTCCCTGCACTCTTTCTAGAGTCTCAATATATTTTTTTATAATGTGGTGACCAAAACTGGATGCAGGATTCTAGGTGTGATTTTACTAGGGCTTACTAAGAACAATCAACCAGTGGAATGGCTTGCCTTTGGAAGTTGTGGATGCTTCATCACTGGAGGGTTTTAAGACGAGACTGGACAGTCACTTGTCTAAAATAGTATAGGTCTCCTGCTTGAGAGGGGGTTGGACTAGATGACCTCCAAGGTCCTTTCCAACTCTGTTACTGTATGCTGCCAGTAGTCTGGTTGAGGAATTCTGGGAGTTGAAGTCCAGATTTCTTAAAGTTGCTAAGGTTGGGAAACCCTCTTGAGTTGGCAGTACAGTAGTCCTTAAAATCACACTGGAGAAAAATAATATGAACGTTTCTCTTTTTTCTGCTTATGTCGCCCCTGCAAAATGCCAAACCTAGCATCAGATAAATAAACGGAGTAATAAAAATGAAAGTTAGGATGTTGGTTACCTTGTTAAAACTTTTATTGTGCATCATCCATTAGAAATATGTCCAACTGATTGCACCCGTCAAATACGTAACGGAGAGTCCCATATGATATATAACTTCCTTTCTTTTTCAAATGGGCTTTTTAACAGGAGAGGGTGGGATTATATTCCAAGATATCTGGACACGGTTGGAAGAAATATCCTTCTGGGTTCAGTTCCAGAAAGACACTGGAAACTTGGTGGCTGCTTGGAAAGATGGTTTTAATGGTGGATAGGATCACATGCCTTGAAGATCTTGGGTGAAGAAAAAAAGGGAAGAGATGCTGAGAGTGCCTGGGTTTTATGCCCTCTCTGGGCTTTTGAATTTGAGCTTGTATTCTGATTGGTTGTCAGACTCCCATGGGGTCATCAGGGGCAACTCTGTAGGCTGTGTTTTTGAGTCCCAAGTTTGGTTGACTCTTGCTGGGTGATGATGTAATGAAGGGGCTTTGGGCAATTCCTACTATGGCTCTGTCTGAAGGAGGTAGATCTTCGTTATGTAGAATGGACTGTCCCAGGCCTTAATGGCCCATTGACAAAGGTGGGAGGGATGGCTGAGTTTCTGTCTCCCTTTTAGGAGAAATTCTGCCCTTTTAATATTTTCTAAAATATCTCATTTTCCTAGGAGAGGGATGGGTGCTAACTTTCTTCAACACAAAGCAGTTAGGGAAGGTTGATGGAGACGGTTTGACTCTAGGAGTGGTTTAGCTAGCTATAGCCAGAGGAGCTCCATTTTGTTGGGAAAAAATCCCCCACTCATTTTGCTTTCAGATATTTTGTTGTTGGGCTTCTCATTCTTGGGCCTTACATCCTTGCCCTAAAATTCCTGGACATTCCTGATAGCCTTATCAAGGGATTCAAAGCAGACCACTGCTAACTTCCTTTTCCTGTTGCAGATAAGTTAGCTAGAAAGTTTTGCATTCTTAATTATCAACCTTATCAGTTAGGGACAGAGGGATAAGGGCTGTGATGAACCTGCTTTCTGGGAAGGTCATCTTCTCCAGGGGTGTGAGTAATTTATTGCTTGTTTCCTGCTTTGGTGCCTATTGATCATGTGCCTGGATTTCTAAAAAGTGTATAAATGTTATGCCAATTTGGGTAAGGGTGTGTGCCTCAATTTGTGACGTAGTCCCGAGAGCACACCTCTTTGTGCTGTACA